TGAGAGAAACTGTACAACAAGAGGCTGAAATCGAAATCACAGTATTTTAGTAGTGGAATGTGAGGAGCTGAATCATATTGTCCTCACAGCCACATATGGATACCCAAGGATTTTGTTTTGTTGCTGATCAGTGTCTGGTTTACTTATGCCCTGCTATGCACATGCTGCGTGCTGATGGAGTACAGGTTTATTTCCAAAGGGGGGGAGTTTGCAGTCTGTGCTAAATAGACTGGCATATGTTTTCTCACTGTCTCTCAGCACATGATGAAGTATCAAGTGCTGGATGAATAAAAACAAGGGAACCAGGTTGTCACTTGAGTTAAAATCCCCATCTCACTCCCTGTTCAAGCTGTAAGTCAAATATGATCTATTTTCCCATAAAGTATTTTATTAATTTGGCATTTCTCAAAGAGGAGAGAAATGACCACCCTCCACCAGTCCATCTAGAAACTAGCAGATGACAGATCATTTACATCAACTGCCATATACATTAGAAAAATCTAGCAGCATTACTTGGTTTCCTTTTCTTGTACAATTCAGTTGCAGAAGGAAAGCTCGTTACTTCAAAAGCCAGCTGCTTCATAATCGTTGCGACGTAGGACAGGCTCAGGCAAGGCCACGTGCTGCGTGTACAGCCTCAGCAGTTTACAACAGGAAGGCTGGTATCGTGTTTGCCATGTGCAGGTCTGACTGACATATGGACAGCTCTGTGTAAGTTGTTTTGCATTTCTGGGTTTGTTTTTTTTTTTTTTTTAAATTTAGTTATAGATCAAGACTTTTCATAGTCATACACCCATTGTCAGGCTCTTTACTTAACACTTATTTAACGTAGTGGAGGGTAGCCATAAAGAGAAGCCTGGCTTCAGGTAAAATACTTGAAAGGGTTGGGCTTGTGTGTGTGTGTGTATATATATATCTTTTTTTTTTATATATATTACTTTTCAGTATTTATTTTTTGGATTTCATACTGTTTTCTAAAATTCTAATAAAACACTTGAGACAAGTACTTGCAGGAACTTCATGCTGATGTGCTTGTAGCAGCATGGACAGGTATAAGTATCCTAATTCCCTTTGGGGGGGTTTGTTGCCTTAAGTGACACACATCTTGGCTTGATACGCAGTACATCACGCACCCACGTCTATATTCCAGCCGTGAAAAGTTCAGGCTTGTACCATGGAACAGGGCTGAGCGACCATTCTGCGGCTGGTGTTTAGTTTGGAGATGTGCAGCTTGCTACACAGTTGAAGCCTTTACTGCTGAGCCCTGAGGAGCAGGATCGTGGTGTTCAGGTCATGCTGGTCTATAGCAAAGTAAAATGTAATGGGCTGCTTTTCTGTACTGTAACTCTGCTTTTAACTTACAGCCTTGTTTAAAAGTGGGGAAGAAAGTTGTTCTACTTTGGTAAATTCTCTGCTTCCCTTTCAGTGGGAGGGGAAAGGGAAACCTGGGGGCTTGCAAGAGATGGGGCTGCCCAGGCAGCTCTGCCTGAGCTCAGCTTTGAACCCAGCAGTGAGGTGCTGACAGGTTCTGAGGGGCAATGCGTGAAAACCCACCAGAGCTTTTAATACGGCTTCATGAAAGTACTGAAAACTCTCTTTTCGAGCACCTCTCTTCCAGTTATTGCTTTCCTTAAAAATATAAACAAAAAGGCAAATAATGCAAACAACATGGAAGTTTGATGGCTGCAGCTGCTGCAACACAAACAGGTACTCTACTCTATCTCACCAACTGCAGCTTCACCTTAAGGCACAACTGCACCGACTGGCAAAAACCAGTTA